TCACTTGAATCAAATCGTACTACCTAACCGGTGTCGTAATTGATCTACGCTGCATGTGGTCCGCACACTTAAGGTTACTTTTCTTCATCTTATCACCTATTGAAGCCACACCTAAGTTTCCTTGAATATATACATTTCAAATTCTATCCTTTATTCATTACATATTATAAAGTGTTCGAGTGGGTAGGATTCTGATTACAACGCAAACTGCAACTTCTCAAAACTCATTTGAGCACTTGGAGTGCTTCATTACCAGGTTCTTTCATGGCACAAAAACACCAACCACTGGAGGACATTAGACTTCTAGATGTGGAGGAGGAATCTCGAGTGCTACTCCCATCCAAAGCCCAGTGTAGAACTTCCCTCAAGATACACTACCAAGACATTCTTAAGAAAGAAGAGATCTATTGGGCCCAAAGATCCTGGGTCAAATGGCTCAAGGCTGGTGAACTCAACACAGTTTTCTTCCACAAGACAACGAACTGCAGGAGAAGAGAGAACACCATCTAACACCTCTAGGTAGGCGACAGATACCTTGATCAACCAGCTCAGATCGAGGAAGCTGTGGTTCACTTCTTCTCTAACCTCTTCTCGGCCCCATCTCGACCCAAATTGGCATTGGGTGATTCCAATTCAGCACACTTCCTCTTAAAAAACGCGTCCTGGCTGGAGAGACCGTTCTCTGAAGATGAAATACTCGTTGCCATTTCTAGTTTGGCAGCAAACAAAGCGCGCGCCCAGACTGGATGGATTTCCCATAGCTCCCTTCAAAGAGTTTTGGGAATCCTTCTGGCCCGATCTTTTAGCCTTGTTTTCAGAATTCCATGCCAGAGGAGTCATTCACCGTGCTATGGATGCCACTTTCATTGCACTAGTTCCAAAAATAGAAGGAGTTGAATGTCTGAAGGACTTCCGGCCTATTAGCTTGGTGCATGCGACTTATAACATTATCACTAAATTCTCAGCTTCCCATTTGAAAGAAGTGTTGTCGCTGGTTATTTCCTCCACCTAATCGGCCTTTATCAAAGATCGTTAGATTTTGGACGAGGCTCTTATAGCCCACGAGTGTGCTCACTCGCGCATATCGCCAAAAGTCCAGGACTCATTGTTAAATTGGACTAGGAAAAAGCTTATGACCATGTTGATTGGGCGATTCTCGAAGAAACCCAATTGAGGATGGGGTTTGAAAGTAGGTGGAGACATTGGATGACTTCCTGTTACACCCAATCCTACTTCTCAATCCTCATTAACGAGTCCCCAAAAGGGTTCTTCCCTTCCACTAGGGGATTACGCCAAGGAGACCCTCTCTCCCCTTTACTTTTTGCCATAGCAGCAGAAGTGTTCAACAGATCCATATCAAGGATGTTCGCTGCGGGTCTGATGAACGACTTCTCGTGTGGTAACAGCGGCCCCATTGTTTCCCACTTACAATACACAGACGACACTCTGGTCTTTTTCAATGCTTTAACGGAGGAAGTAGATTATCTTTTCCTCTTCCTAAGATGCTTCGAATATGCAACGGGTTTTAGGGTGAACTATAAGAAAACTAAAATGATTGGGGTGGCGGTTGACCTTGATGTGGTCAAAGGTTTTCAGATACTTAGGGCTACGAGGCTAATGAACTCCCCTCTACCTACCTAGGATTACCCCTTTGTGAAGGTAAATCAAAGAAGAAGCTTTGGTCTAACATCCTAGACGTAGTTGACCGTAAATTCGCAGGATGGAAAGGGAGGTTCCTCTCACTAGAAGGCAGACTTACTCTTATCAAAGCCACTTTAGCAAACATGCCCATTTACCAGATGTCCCTTTTCAACATGGCTGTAGCAGTGGCACAAAGAATCGAGAAACTCATTTGCAGATTCTTTTGGGTTGAGGATGCTTTTAATCATAAATTCAATCGCCTGGCCTGGGAAAAGCTTTGTTTACTTGAGAGGCTGGGTGGTCTGGGGATCACAAATCCAAGGCAACAAAATATTTCCCTTCTCGGTAAGTGGTGGTGGAAACTATTGACCCTATAGGTTAGCTGTGGGTAAACATACTTAAGTTTAAATACTGCATCCCATACACCCCTTGGCTACTGAACTTAAAATCTTATCCCTGGGCATTCGAGATCTGGATGTCTATCACTAAATCCTACCACCTATTCTCCAGAGGGATCAGATTCCAAGCTAGAGGGGGGAAGAAGATTTGATTTTGGTCGGATCTTTGGATAGGTCATCAGCCTCTTAAAAACTAGTATCCGAAACTCTTCTCCTTGGCACGCCACCAAAATTATTTCATAGAAGAAGAGCTCAATCTTGTGGACAGTTCAAGGTCTTGGAGTCCTCTTTTTTGAAGAGACCTTTCAGACCTTGAGTTCACATCGTTCTTAGAATTTGCTCATACCTTGGATTCTTATTTCTTTCAACACCACGGTGAAGACAAAATCATTTGGGCACCGGCTGCCTCAGGGGTATTTTCCGTCTCTTCTCTCTACTCTTTCATATCCCAACCACCTATCTTTCCTTTAAACCCCTCCTCTTTTGTCAACCCAGCTTGGAACTCCCTGGTGCCTCCAAGACTGAAACTTTTCATGTGGGTTGCACTTCACTCAAAAGTGCTCACTGTTGATTACCTACAGCGAAGAGGGTTCTTATTCCCAAAATAGATGTGCTTTATGCCTCATCAAGGAGGAAACAAACTCCCATTTGTGCCTCTCATACCCGTTTGGTTTTGAAGTTTGGGGGAAGATCCTATCTCTCCTTGGCATGTAGTGGGTCCTACCCAAAGAGGTAACCTCACTACTCAAAGCCTTCGACCATACCCCTGGGCCAAGGCTGGGATCTTCCTTTGGAAAACTATGGTTGCGACAACTGTATGGGCTCTTTGGATAGAACGAAACAACATAATCTTTTGGGGGGAACTAGAAATATCTTCTCTTGTGTTCTCTAAAATCAAGGCCCAGGTAGTTTTCTGGGCCACAAATCACAAACTTTTCCAAGTTGTCTCACCTTCAGCCTTCTATCAAAATTGGAATACTCTCATGCACTATTCCACAAGGAGAATTCTTAGAGCCTCACATTTGCAACCTCCACCCTAGGGCCATCTTAAGCTCGACTTTGATGGCTGCTCTTTAGGCAACCCTGGCCCATTAGGAATAGGAGTTGTTCTAAGAAACCACACCGGATCCACTGTAGCTTTGACCGCCAAGTTCCTAGGCCACTTGGACTCAATGGAGGCCGAAGCTATCGCGATGTTAGAGGGCATTAGATTAATCCAACCCTTCTCAAACTCGCCTTTTATCATAGAAGGCGACTCAAAGAACATCCTTGCTTGGGCCAAACATCACTCATGTATCCCTTGGGTCCTAAACCATATCTTTGATGATATCTTACACCTTTGTAGGGGGCTGACTGTAGAATGGAGACACACATGGAGGGAGGCAAACCACGTCACATGCACCTTGGCGAAAGCAGCGGCCTGCGAGGAAAATCTTCAACACCTCGCCAAATGGGACTCCAGTTCTGTAACAACTTTTCTAAAGGTTTCTCTCTTATCCCGCATATTGTACCCATGTTTTTGGCTCCTGCTAGCTTGTTCTAGCTATCCCTAGTGGATAACACTTTTCTCTCTCCCCTCTATAACTTTATTATCCGATGTGGATAGCCCCTCTCCCTTTCTTCTTTTTGTACTCTTCTCTATTATACATATAACAATCAACATTCTAAAAAAAAAAAAACATATTATAAAAAAAAATTTAAACCATAATTCAAATATTGTAATGTACTAACCTTTTCAGAATGAAACCGATATCGGCCCAAACTAGTTATCTTTGGTCGCCATAAGTCCTCTTATGAGCCCACTCCAAGCTCCAAAGTGTTGGGAACTATTTCTTTTGATTTCGCAAGAAATCAAAAATGTTGAAATTTTTCTGATCTTGAGAAGAATCACAAAATCTTTAGTTTTTTGAGTGTTTTCCACTCTCTAAAATATATAAAAGGGGTTTTGGGGAGGCTAGAATGCTCCCCAAAACCCTTTTCCCCTTGGTTAGTGTTGGGGGTGGAATCCCAAAATACCCTTGGCCTGCGTTGAAGCTCCACCTAGGCGCCTGCCGTAGGGGTGCTGCCTAGGCGGCACCTTGCCTGGTGGGTGCCTAGACGCACGATGCCTAGGAAGGCCGCGTAGTGGGCGCCTAAGCGTTTTGGACTTCCAACAGAGGCGCAAAGGCCCTCTTGTTTGACTTGCTTATAGAACCAAGTTTTTCACGTATGGAAATTGATCTACTTTCTGGAATCATGATTTGTGATACAAGTCAGTTTCAAGCTTAGTTTTGCTGGAATGAGTGCTTGATTTTCCGTGACATATTGGCTAAACTTTCTTTTAAATAGCAAGATTTATCAGATATTACTGGCTTAACTAACCAACGTGCAACAGAAGTGCATCAACATATGAGAGGCATTTCTTATTAAAGAGTGAATCAACTTGTTACCTTTGATTAACCAATATGTCAGAAAAATCATGCACAAAGAGCTTTGATTGTTACCTCTTATGAGTAACATTTTCAAGCTCTTAAAATGAGTAACATTTACCTCTTCTGTTGACACCTTGTTACCTTTGATTAACCAAGAGCTTCGAAGGTCAAGATCTGAATTGATTCTTACTGAAGGACATAACACTATCTAGCATGCCCATTTTTCCTTTTTGGGCTCATGTTTTTTGAGAAAGTATTCACAAACAAATATTGTTTGGGCATATAGGCGTACTATATTAATAGGTACTCTGAACTGGCAAGGAGACTATTTTCTGCTGACCGCCACCCACTGGACTTAATATTGTTCCATTTGTTAGTTTTTTATGTTGTGCACCTAATATAGACAACAATTGGCTCCAAAAAAAGATGGTATTTGAATAACTTCTCCATTCTGTGGTTTTTTTGCTTAATATTGACAGCAATTGACTACAGAGAAAATACAAGGCATTTAAATAGCTTCCTATGTTGTGTGAATGCCTGCTTTTTGTAGGAAGGCCATTATGAATACAAGTACATCATTGATGGTAAATGGACCTGCAACCCTGATGATCTAGTAACCAAACCAAACAGGGACGGCCATGTAAACAATTATATTGATGTATGTAAAAATTCCACTTCCAAACCGGTGCATTTTGGACTCTTTTTTACAATGTGTTTTGTTGATGTCCTTTACCATTTGTTCTTGCAGGTCTGTGATGATGGTTTGGATGATGCAACTAGGGAGCTACGAAAGCGACTGATGGATGACAATGTTGATCTCACAAAAGAGGAGCGACTTCTCATAAGAGAATTTCTGGAAGCATATAATGATGATGCTTAGTGGAGATGGTATGTAACCCTAGCCATCGGGCCCATGGGCAATTTGCTCTATGTGAGATAATCTGATGTTCAATGGTAGCAGAATAAATAAAAGTAGTTCTCATTCTTAGTGCTTTTCCTTTGCTTTCTAACCCAGGTTTACCTTTCCAAAGAAGCTTAAATTTAAAATCAACTTGGGACCTAATGATATCCGAACTCTAGATGTTGTTTTGTGGTATCCTTCCCCTACCACTTCTTCCTGGAGCCCATTTTCAAGGCAATGCTCAGAATAATAATTTGTTGATGGGCAACAATGGCAATGGTCCTACTAATCATGTTTTTAAACAAATGCACAATCTCCTAATTCCCACTGTCCATATGGATGGGAATTGGATGTGTTTTGCGTGATTGCTTTATCCTGTTGTGTCAAAGTTATTTTTCTGATAAGCCATCGAAAACGACTTGGTTGGGCTAGCTCTGATGAAATGACAATTTGAGACTGATTTATTCAATTCATGGCTTGAATTTCTGTTGTGCAGACATAGAGTGGATGTTTTAAGTCCTTATGTCTAGGGTTGCATAAAATGTTAAAAATTCAGGATTATGTGGAAGATTTCATGGACCTTGCTAGTGGTATACAAGGTTCAAATATACGACGCTTGGAACTGTTCCCATTTTTTTTTTATTTTTTATGAGAAAAGCTAACATTTGTATTGAGAAGAAGGGGAGTATACCAAAAATTGGCTGCCTGTGAACCGGGCTATGTACACGAAGAAATGGCTACCCACAAAATAGGATCCCTATACAAAACCATTAAGGGCTTTGGGAATGGTAACAAATAAACTATAACAGTGGGGACAGGGGGGGCAAAAGTCCCTAAAGTGAGTACTGAACTAAGTCTACAAAAAATTACTCAAATCGCTAGAGTTTGAAGCACCAGCTTTTACGAGAGTATCAGCTTTAGAGTTGCATTCCCGGCCATATGTGGTTCCAAGATACATTCAAGTTGGTGCTAAAGTGGGATGTATCATCGGAAGATGTGAGCTAGGAACCAAGGACAAGTTGCAAAACCAAAGGCCTAAGATATCACGTTGTTGGAATCATCTTAGACGTTCAAGGCTAATCTCCAAGAATGGAAAGTTTGAGGCCTTCTAGAACGGGTACGACCTCAACAGTTTGGGAGTTTGTGTGGACGATATGCTTAGAAAAGGTGGCCAGAATTGGGCCTTCATGGTCCTTAAAGAGGCCATCGATGCCAGCAGGTCTGGGGCTGCCTCATGAGCAAACATCAAAATTGAGTTTTACTAGTCTTGGTTCGAGTTGTCTTCACAAAGAGGTAGGAGAGATAAGGTGAAGGGTGAGGTCGAGCATGGCCATCCAGTTCGAGTGGAAAGCCGATGTGGGGGATCCTTTGAATTGCTTGTGATTAGAGGCTTAAAAGATGACCGTAGTCTTGATCTAGTTAAATAAAAGTTGCTGGAGATGAACTCTCGCCTGGAAATATCATGTTATTTCTCTCAGTCTAGATGGTCCAAAGGACGACCACCATGGAGACCTTCCACAGAAGTATACTAGATTTAACCTAGGGATGGGTGAAGAGAAGAAAAGAGAAGGGGAGTGGTGTGAGGAGTCACCCACTGCAAGTGGATAAGTCAGAGAAGGGCTCCCCACAGGGAATGAGCAATATGGCAGGGAATAAAGAGATGAGCATTGGATTCTTCTGCTGCCAAGCACATGACACAATGATTAGGGATGGGAATGCCTCTTCTTTGTAGCTGGTCCACAATAAGGACACTCTATGAGAGAGTTATCCAGTTAAAAACTTGGATCTTGGGAGGAGCAAAGGAAGACCATGCCTGAGCCATTATAGAAACTGGAGCAAGGGGGAATGTGGGGGATTGAAGGAGTTTGTAGTAAAATGAGTATAAACTGAGAAGGTCCCTGAAGGCGACGAGTGCCATTATGATATTGTATTCACCTTGAGTAGGGAGAAAGATTGAATGAAGAAGGGAGAAGAGATCAAGGAGTTCTTGGAACTCAGAGTCTGAGTGTGCTCTCTTGAAGATGGGTTCCAAACTTTGGCTGAGCCCTGGATTGGGAAGAAGGTGGCTATTGTGGCTTGTCGGTTGGGGGCTAAGAGGAAGAGGGAAGGATAATAATCATTGTTCTTTTTCTTCTTCTTTTTTTTTTTTGGTGGGGGGGGGGGGTTGTAGGTGTCTTATCCTAACACGACTCCAGTACTATTCATATTTCTCTCTTATATCTTTGCCTATTATTGTAAAAAATGCTCGATTAAGGTGTGTCTTGAGAAGGGGAAAATGACATTTCATAACAGCTTTTGTTGGTCATTAAAGAGAAAAATTCATGGAAAAGAGAAATAGAATTGAAGATAAGGACGAACCACACAATGAGATAACTAGATTTGTATGGTTCACTTCATTGCAGAAGCGAAATTCATGAAGGAAAGCCTCTATCACCTCGTACATATTATCTTTTCCTTTCCTTCCCAGGTTGAGAAATATGACTTCTACAACGCTCCTCCCGCACCCCCACCCCCAAAAAAACAGCAACGTGGAGAGGGAATCCAAGCTAGTATACAAGAACTTCCATCTTGGTTTGAATTTGGCTGGACCCACTTGAAAACTCCTTCAAGCTTCACCAACACGCCTAAAAAGATGCACAATCATCATCTTCGACATATGTGGAGTAAGTTCAAGTAGAGGTGTGGAGGACGTGTTTAAAAGGATGGACTCGAGCTTTGACTTGCCAGAGTCTTGAGCCCAAGCCCCCCACAAAACCAGTTGAGTGGGAGACGAGTCTTAGGGCTAATTTTCCCCAAAGATAATATAGGGGGGAGATTCTTGATATTCAAACTTCTTCCTCCAGAATTGTTGGAGACGGAAGTTTTAGAGGAAGAATTAAAAAGAGGTGTTTTCTCCTTACTAGATGACAAAGCTCTGGGACCTGATGGTTTTCCCCTTATCTTTTTTCAAAGGATCTAGAGCATTCTTAACATGACCTGTTGGCGATGATCACGGAGTTCATGGAGAGGGGAGAGATGTTCAAAGGAGTTAATTCGACTTGCATTGCTTTAATTCCTAAGAAGTTTATTATTGCACATCTGGGAGACATAAGACTAGCTAACTAGCCTTTACATGATCATGGAAAGATTAAAGGAAATGATTGGTCCACAATATGCTTTTATTAGGAATATGCTTATCATTGATAGTGTCCTTATAGCCTACAAATGTTTTCATTTTAGAGCTTTTAGTGCAAGGTTGGTTATCGAGCTTGATTTGCAAAAAGCCTATGATAGGGTGGAATGACAGGTATTTTAATAAGTAAATGGTGTAAGTGAAAATCATGAGATGTATGGGCATTGGTAGTAAATGGTAAAAGTGGATTTAGCCTGTGATAGGGTGGAATGGCAGGTATATGGGTTTAATAAGTAAATGGTGTAAGTGAAAATCATGAGATCTATGGGCATTGGTAGTAAAAGGTAAAGTGGATTTCTGGTTGTCTATCAATGCACACTTCTCTATTCTCATTTACAGCTCTCTCAAGGGTTTTTTTAAAGCCACAAAAGGTCTAAGGCAGGAAGACCCCTTTCACCTTTTGTATTTATTGGTAATCGAGGCTTGGAACCAAATGTGAATAATAAGGGATGGGTAAATGATTTTAAAATTTTTGCTCAGGGATCTTGTATTTCGCATCTTCAATATGCCAATGATATACTCATGTTTAGTGACACATATCTCATACAAATTACTAATATTGGTCTTTTTCTTAGGTGTTGTGAGGTGATTTTGGGCTTAAAAGTTAACTTCCAGAAAACTTCCATAGTGGGTGAGGCTTGTGATGAGTTACTGTTTAATTCTTTGGTAGATTCTGTTGCTTGTAAGGTTGCATCATTCCCCATCAGGTGCCTTGGTTTACCTATTTCGACCTCTAGATTTTCAAAAGTAGTATGGGACTCAGTTATCCACGGATCTCAAGTCAAGCTAGATCTCTTGGAAGCTAACATCACTCTTTGCGAAGGCACACCAGTCAGATAAGATCCTCTTTGGTGAATATTTCTATATAACAAATATCCCTACACCAGATTTCAAGATCGGTGACTGCCCATAAGAAAAGGTGATGAGAAACTTTTTATGGGGTCTTACGAGGATGGAAGAACATATCATCTTGTTTGCTGGGATAATATGTGCACCTCGAAAAGGGATTGTGGGTTTATAATTAGAAAGATCAAGTTGGTTAATAAGGCATTGCTTGCTAAATGGTGGTGGAGATCAATGCAGGATGATTACCCATTTTGGTTGGAAGTTCTTAGAGCGAAATACAGTGTCAACCAAATAACTAATTTGCTCAAACAAAGTCGAGGTGGTGAGAAACAATTGCAGGTTTGGAAAGGCATTTCACAATGTAGGGCTATAGTGGATCGAAACATATACTTGGAAAAGGGGAAAATCCTTCTTTTTTGTTTCATAAATGGCTAGGAGATAGGCCCCATGGATGTTTGCTACCTAGATTTGTTTGCGAGATTTAGGAATCCTTTACTAAAGGTTGTTGATTTGGTGTAGCGAACAAGTGTTGGTTGGGTGTGGAACATTCAATGCTCTTATAATAGGGGTCTTTGATGCTTTGATATTTCAACTCTCCTAATTGCTCTCCAATTTGCAATCTAATTGTTTGGCTGGGAGATGGAAAGCAGTGGGCTACTTACAGTGAAATATGCCTAGCGATTGCTCTTTAATGATCTACTGCGTTGGAGAGAATCAAGCATAAATGATACTGGAAAGAAGAAAATCAATACCTTTCAAACTGTAAGATCGACTACAAAAAGAATCGTAATTTCAAGCGCAAACAGCCGAGCTTGAGGCATTAAGAGCCGTTAGAGCGACTCTTAACCCTAGTGGTCCTTTAGGACAACAGTCCTCATATCCGGCTATGAAGAACCAGTCAACCCCTAAGCCTAAAGGAAGCACATTTAAGTTGAAGCTTTGAAAGGAGTTGGTTTGAAGGAGCTGAAGATGGCGCTATTACAAGCAAGAAAAGCCGCAAAAACTCCTCCCGTGCCTCAAGTGTTGCAAGTCAGGGATGAAAGGCAAAGAAGAGAGATAACGAAGATTCTCATTCA